GATCAGGGTCCTGTGGTGGTCTGGATCAGGGTCCTGTGGTGGTCTGGGTCTGGATGCAGAAAGGTCTGTTGCCTTCAAGGACCGCATGTTTTCCAGGAACGTCCGAGTGCTTTTCACCCAAACGATGTAAACCAACGTTCTGCTCACAGACTGAGGGAACAGGACGGGTCCTGGACCTACAGCTCAGACATGTCTCCGGGACGACCCGCACTGTTGGACACCTGAGCACGTGTTTGTGGAGAGAAGGGACAAAACACCACCTGAAACTCTTCATCACTCCTCATCATCAGGACATCTTTAAGTGTTGAAGGAACAAAGAGCCACAAACGTGTTTTAAAGGGCAGGAACGAGTGGATACGAACAAAGAAAACACATTTCTTGATTCACTGTTTGTAATGAAAACGTCTAAATTTAAATTTTTATGTATTTTAACTTTATTTACTATTTACATGTGTTAGTGTAAAAATAACAGAAAGCAGTAAAGTTGCTAATTGGATGATCCAGAATGAATGAATAGGATTTAAGCTGTCAAACATGACCTTATACAAACATGTAGAGTAAATTATAATAAATATTTTATTATATATTAATATTATATATTACTATTTATGTAATTATATATAAATATATAACAACGTATTAAAAATAAGGTAAACATGAGGTCTGATCCTTCTGGTCCCTGAACGCGTCTCACGCAGCAGCACTGCTTTGTTACACATCAGCAACAAACAAAGGCGAGTGTGGACACGGTTCACCTGCATTAATATTCAGATCGTTTTACTAATGAAACACCAGACTGAGCTTTAGCTGCTGTTCAGCTTCGGTTAGCGGAGCAGGGGAAACATTTCAGGCCTTTAGCCGCAGCTCGGACTCTTCTGTCCGCACCGACGTGAGTTAGCCTAGCGGCTAACGGCTACTTGACCCAAAGCTCGGTCCAGAGACGGGTTCTGTTCGTGTTTGTTGTTTGTGTTTATGAAGAGTGGTAAACAAGCCGCGGCTGGCCGGTGTAACATGCTGGCATGAATGAGTTAAAGCTGCTAACCAGAGCTAAACAGGTCGGTTAGAACAAGTTTAGGCTAATAAATATTGTGACGTATGCGCGATGCCTTCATGGACTGTGGGAAATGTTCGTACTACACGTTATTCACTTGTTACAAATAAAATTAATAACAACAAAAAAAGTTTTATTCATCTAAGAAATTTAAAATGAGCGTGTTAAATCCAAATAAATACTCTTAATTTTAAGTTATTGTTTTACTTGTAAAGTTTTAATAAATATTGATTTGTGTACAGCACACGTTACAGTATTTAATATCCATTCAAGCTTTATTTAGACGGTAAATCCCATTGAGCCTCCAGGACTCAGTTACAAGAGAGACCTGATTACATTTAATAATGTTCCAGATTTCTTGATTTATTTAGACACAGTTTCTTTCTTGTTTGGACTGAACGGTTGTTCTGTGACACGTAAAGAGTGAAATTAAATGAAATGCACGTCAACATTAGAAGCAAACGATAATATTTTGAGGAAAATAACTGATGAAGATTCATAAAATCAATAGAGATAAAACTTCCTGCTTGTTGGAGGACTTATAGAGCTGAAAATCAATTTCCCCACACAAAATAAAATTAAATATCATTTGATCAAACTTTGAATTAGGGAACAAATATTTAAAAAGTTTAAATTTTTTACAAATGAGCATTTCTTTTATTAGTTAAACAAACATTAAATCAGATTGTGCTGAACTGGGATGAATTAATTTTTATCTGAATTGATTTAGGTTTTATTACAAGCAATACATTTGTTTTTTATGCTTAAATATGTAATTTGGACGTTTTTTCTTCAGCAGTGATGTCAATTATTCTGCAATTATTTCAAACTATAAAGTTTTTTTTCCTATTTTCTTAGTATATTGTGATATTGTAACACTTTGTCATTGTATATTTTTCTATGAAAATTACAGTTTAATCAATTTATTACACCTAAACTTTCTATTAACAATCTAAACAATAGTTGTTTTACTTATAGACACTTTTATATTTACGGTACTCTTTTTAAATTCACACATTCTCAAAATTCTTGGTCATTTATTTACAGCAGCTTTCTTTTATTATTTATTTTGACACACTTCAGTGGGAAATCACCAAGCAAAGGTTTAATTAGATCAAATGTCTTATCTGAAGGACAAAAGTTTTATTTCTCCACAGCTTCAAAAGACAAATTGGACTTTATTTGGACTTCGTCTTATCGGATCGGTTTGACCCGCGCAGCGTTTGGAGGAGTTTCCACCTTCAGATGTGAAGTCTGGGCCCACCTGTGCAGGCGGGGGCTGCTCGGTCACCTGTGAAGTGTCGCAGCCTGTTTTGGTCACATGACTCACCTGGAGCCTCACCTGAGGCCTCCTCCTCTCCCAAACCAGAACGTGGACATTACTGTCCGGTTTTATTAAGTTTAGCCAGCTAATCAGAAATGTAAGGTTTAATCACGTCTCGAGTATTAATTAGGCTCGCACAGCTACAAACTTCAAGAAGAAAAAACACAAATTAAATTTATTTTTCACTTTTTGAGGCTTTAACCTTGAAAACAAACCAGTTTCAGACTAATGATGCTGCTGGTTCGAAGTCTTGTTGCTTGGAAAAGAAATAATATTTTTATGCCTAACCAGTTTTTCATCACTGTATGAAGATTTGTTGTTTTTCCAGTTTTTTAACAGACTTAATCTAATGTTCCGTTTTATTATCCACGTTTACAGATATTTTTTTATCTTCTTTTTTTTTAATCAGGATTTGTGATGTCAGTTTGACACATAAAACATCTATAAAAACTAAAACATGACATCCATGTGTCTTGTTTTTATCAGGATTACCATAATCTGAACATTTTGTTTTACGTGGTGCATTCAGGTATCATCCTGAAAATCGGAGATTCAATGAGACTAACCTGTATAAATAAAGGTTGAATGAATTCTACAAGAACGATTAAAACGATGACAAAATAACAAATACTGAGCCTAAATTTTCATGGTAAACGTTAATAAAAAATTTAATTCGTTGTAAATGTTTATGTCATAACAAATATGATTTATTTAAATTATAACATTTTCTTTTAGCCGCGAGTCCTGAGCTAGTTTCAGAGGACGGAGCCAGACGGCGGTCCTTGAACGCAACATTAAAACAACCGTTGCTCATTTTTTTCGTTTTAACGTTTTTCGGTTTTGATCGTTTCGCGGTGAAAACGGTCGTTAACGAACACGAACCCGTCCGTTTGGATCGGGTCAGCGGTTACCTTTCGAGGCTCCGGACAGTCCTGGATCCGGGTCTGAAGTCTCTCCACTGTTTCCAGCAGCTGCTCCGCCATGTTTACTGCTGGTACCCTGTCCCCCGGAAACGGTTCCGCGGTCCGGGCGGGGAGGAGAGGCCCGGTCCGGGGACGACTTCCGCCGGTCCTGGTTCCGAAAACTTTATTACAGTAATGTTGGTTATTTGGGGATCAAACTTGATCTCATGTTTCTAAAGTTTAAAATGTCATATAAAAATAATAATAATTTTATGTTTTAACCTTTTAGTTTTATAAATATACAAAGATTTTTCATGTCATTCTCATCACGTGGTACATGAGGTGGAACGAAACTGTTCACAGGGTCCCAGTTACATCCAACAACATGTAAATAAACCCAGTGATAAGATCCAAGACGTGAATTAATTTATGCTGCCGTCACTAAACTAAGAATACAGTAATGAACGAAACAGCAGCACGAACATGAGTCTGTGTGAGCAACGAGGACCAGTGAACAGCAACATGAAATAATCAGCAGCACGAGATCAGCAGCATGGACAGTCAGCAGCACATATCAACAACCAAGTAGTTTTATAATTACAGTTGGTCTTTGATGGATTTTTGCAACTATTGTTTTTAGTCTTTTGCAGCTTTTAGCTTCTAGCTAATGTTTTGCTACACTTCTCTTTTAGGTCCCATTTGATAGCTTTTAGCTAGCTTTTTGCTACTTTAGACTTGTAGTTAGACTTTTGCTACATTTCAGCTATAGCATTGTGCAGTTTTTAGCTACTAGCTAACATTTTGCCACACTTATCTTTTAGGTCTTTTTGTACATTTAGCTTTTAGCTAGCCTGTTGCTACTTTAGGCTAGTTGTAACTAGACTTTTGCTACATTTCACCTATATATAGCATTTTGATACTTTTAGCTTTATACTAATGTTTTGCTAAACTTATATTGTATGTCCCATTTTGCACATTTAGCTTTTAGCTAGACTTTTGCTACTTTAGGCTACTTTTAGCTAGCCTTTTGCTACATTTCCCCTATTATCCACAACTTCCTCTGGATCAATAAAAGTTTTATCTTATCTTTTAGATAGTGTTTGCTACTTTTAGCTTCTAGCTAATGTTTTGCTACACATCATTTAGGTACAATTTTTATACATTTAGCTTTAAGCTAGCCTTTTGCTACTTTAGACTTGTAGCTAGACATTTGCTATACCCCTACTAGCATTTTTAGCTTCTAGCTAATGTTTTAGAGTTTTAGCCAGCATTTTACTACCTTTAGATTTTAGCTGTGGTTGTTACTTGTGGCCTTTGGTTAGCATTTAGTATTTTTTTAGTATTTAGCTATGATTTGGTACAGTTAGCATTTAGCTAGTGTTTTGCTACTTGTGGCCATTATCTAGCATTTTATTACTTTTAGATAAGATTTGATAATTTTAGCTGGCATTTTACAATTTTGAGCTTGGATTTGATACTTTTAGCTTCCAGCTATAGTTTAGCTACATTTTGTGTTTATATTGCCTTTTGCTAAATCTAGCATTTAGCCAAATTTTGCTACTTTTAGCCTTCAATTGGTGATTCATAATTTTAGCTAGCATTTTACTTTTATAGCTTTTAGCTTGTGTTTTGCTACTTGTGGTTTTTAGCCAACATTTAATTTATTTTAGCATGTAGCTAGGATTTGATACCTTTAGCTAGTGTTCTGCTACTTGTGGCTTATAGTTAGCTTTTAGTTCCTTTTGGGTTTTTAGCTAAAATTAAATACTTTTAGCCTTTAGTTAGGATTTGATACTTTTAGCTTCTAGCTAATGTTTGGTGCATTTAGCTTTTTGATCACCTTTTGTGGCTTTTAGTTAGTTTTTTGTTGCGTTTAGTTTTTTGCTAGATTTGTTTCTGTTATCTAGACCTCAATACTTTTAGCTAGTGTTCGTGGTCTTTTAGCTTTAACAGCTTAGTTTCAGCTTCTTCAGTAGATTTCAGCTGTCGTTCAGCTCTGAGTTCTCTCTGCGGTTTAGTAGAAACAACTTTTACATTTTATGTTTGTAAACATGGAAGACCCAAAAACAAACAAACAAACAGCTTCAGATCTTCTGTTTGTTTTAGAAGGAACAACTTTGGCAAAGAACGCAGATCAACAGGAGGAGAACCAGAACAAAACCTGAAACCTCCACAGCCCCCCAGGAGGAGGAGGAGGAGGAGGAGGAGGAGGACGAGGACGAGGAGGAGGAGGGGGGACAGCTGGGATATTTTTGGGAAGGGAGGGCGACGAGGAGGCTCTATTTGGAGATGGAGGAGGAAAATGTCTGACGGACGATGAAGACTACGTCAGAGTTTTGTTTAGATACACACACATACACACATACACACACACTCTCACACACACACTCTCACACTGTCACACTCTGACACACACACACACACACACTAACACACACACTCTCACACACACACTCTCACACACTCTCACACATACACACACACACACACTCTCACACACACACTCTCACACACACACTCTCACACACACACAGCCCTCCTGCAGACGGACAGAAGGACGAAGAGGAAACTTGGAGGAAAGAAAAGAAACGAAGGAAAAGAAAGAAAAGGAAAGAGAGGCGCCGGAGACGGAGGTGAGATTTGACTTCTTCAAAGTTCTGGTCCAGAAAGTTCTGGTCCTGGTTCTGTCTCCTGACCTTCAGTCGTTGCTGTCGCCCTTTGAAGGGATTTTATAAGAATGAATAAAAACATTCAGCAGGCGAACGCTGAATGTTTGTTTGTTTGTTTGTTTGTTTGTTTGTTTACTGCAACGTGTTGGGTAACATTGTTTTGATTTTTGTGCTTTGGGTTCATTTTAAAGAAACGATCAGCTGCAATGTTCGTTTTATTTTTATCCGAGAGTCGCGGGTCGGAATGAAGCTTTAAATAAATCATACACATCTGAGAAACAAACAAACAAACAAACAAACAGTTAAATAAACCCAGAATCAGTCGGCTGCTTCTGTCAGTTAAAATAAATAAAAGCAGAGCCTGAAGAGGAAGCTGCTGTTTGTTAACAAACAACTTGTTTAAAAACGCTGAGCAGAATCAGATGTTCCAGAACCAGAACGGACCTGAAACCCTGAGGGACACCTGAGGAGACACCTGGGGACAGGTGAGAGTGGGCGGAGCTAGAGCCGACAAAGAAAACAATAAACATCCATCATCTTTACCCACTTCTTCCTTTTTGGTTCACGGGGGTCTCTGGGGCCCATGTCCAGCAGTCACTGTGTGAGAGGGGGGCTGGGGGGGGCACACCTGGATCTCCTTCTTTCAAACTAATTATTAACGTCTATTTACTTTTAACAACACGTTTTATATAAAAACACACAACCTGTAGAAAATAAGACAAAAGTTTATGAACATTAATCTAAATAAGCACGTGCAGGAAGTTCAAAAGAAAAAAAATATTTTTGTGCTTTGTAACAGATTTATAAAAGTAACATTTATTAAAAACATAAACCAACATGAAAAATAATAAAACAAATGAAAATAGTTCAGTTAAAAACAAAGAACGAATAAACCAAAAGATTAAATCTTTCTAAATGTTAAAGAGTCACAAACAAAACGTTTGTTTATTAACTCATCGTGCTGAAGATCTGATGAAGAGGAGGGTTAGAGTGAGGAAGCAGCAGCTTCTGGTTCTGATCAACTAAAGATCGTCTCCACAGATCACAAAGTGGGACCTGAGTCGAATCAATATTTTCATCAGTCATCGGGTGGAAAATAACATTTTTGGTCTGTGTTTGTGTTTCTGTTAGCAAAATATCTCAACAACTACGGGACGGACGTTCATTAAAGCCCATTAGTCGACTCAAGATGGCCGCCACAGCTAATGCCCTTAGTGAACACAAAGATGCAGCAGCTCGTCACCTTCACAGATATGAGCCGAAACACGGAGCGGTCGCTGAGAGTCATCCTGACACAGTCTGAGGGTCCGGGGGGGGGGGGGGGGGGGGGTGTGCGCGGGGGGGGGCGGG